AATAATTCATCATATATTTATTACGAAATACCTAATAAAAATGTATACATATTTATATAATACAAATTTTGTTTTTTATTACCTACTTTTTGAAAAGTGAAACAATGTGGGTCGCGAAAAATTTTTCGGGGGAAATTTGGGTCGCAGTACTAAACAGATTGAGAAGCACTGATCTAGACAACAAACTTGCATGGGCCATACTCATATAAAAACTAATAGAAAATCACTCAAAATTAAACTCCTTAAACTTAAGACAGTAAGACATCACCTCTAATAATATCTTTCAGTTAATATTAAACTCTTAATCTACGATTATTCGCTCATCGATGACCTACGGAATTTAGATTAAAATTTTCCAATAATTTCAAGCAATTTGCCTTCATCTCATAACAAATAATACCCTCTGGTACGTCAACAAACTCTATCTCACTCTCTCTCTCTCTCTCTTTTCATAATGTATTATTTATTATTATATTAATAGGTAAAGGTAAGTTATAGATACCAGAAATCTATTCCAAATGTTAATCATAGCCCATAGGTATTATTTGTTATAATACATTTTTAAATAATAGGTATACTCAGGACCGTAGAAAGAACCAGTCACTGGTARAAAACCAAATTTGCAACGCTCCACCACCCATCCGTGCTAAAATTTATGTCAGAGTAATAAGTACATTACCGAAATTATTAAATTAATGGAAAAATAAATAAATATTAGCTATTAGTTATTACTATTTTACTACACTAACTCATAAACGATAGAATAACTTATTATTTCGTTTACAAAATTATAAAAAACATTTTGTTTTTTCATATTTTTATTTTTGTTTAAACATTCAATAAAGAAATGTCTGAAATGCTGTTGAAATAATTATTCATACCAGAAATAAAAGTAAAAACGAGATAAAAAATAATTAGAAAGGTTAATAATTAAATAAATCGTATAATCGGAAAATGAAAATAGTTACCACAAATAAACTTACTTTAAAGTTTAAAGGTTATCAKTGTTTCACTATTAGGTATCAACTTATTTCCTACCTACTTATTACTCGATCTAAATATAAAAATATAAATTATGTTTGATGTGAAACTACATATTCTATAATATGTTTAGACAATCAATATAAAATATAATTTATAATTTATCTAAAAAATAAAAAATAAATCTCTTAGGTATACTACCTGCTACTGCTTCGTTTAACATTTCAGAAAAATAAAAATTACTTTTCTATCGTTTGGACTCTGGACGTCTGATACACTGATCAGTGATAATTGATAGGTACATATTATTATATACAGACATACAGTATTACTACTATATAACATAATTTAATGTACCTATTCTAGTTTATAATCCAAGTTACATTCTCTAAGACGGAAACGCAAATATATTGTTTTGTGCTAACATAGGTAGGTACTAGGTATACCTACCTATAAACTTTTTTAGATAAATAAGTTGTAAGTATCTATTTTACAACAAAATATGAACATATTTTCATAGAAGTAGGTATA